GGGAACGGATGGATGGATGGTGTATGATAGCAATTGTTAGACAACCTTAATATATCGATTGCTGATTTGGTTTTCTTTCTTTTTTTTTTTTTTCCTTTTTTCCCCTCTGTGTTTCTTTTTAGAAAGATTGGGCCTTACTAGGGTATGACAGTGTCTTACTAATACTTACATCTTGCAAGACAACTGCATATATATTCCCCTTTAAACCTGCACGAGTTCTGAACACCCATTGCTTCCAGACTGGATTCTTTTTTATGCCTCCACAAACATTCTCGTTTCCTCCGAAAGATTTAAATGTTTAAGTTACAGTATTTTTCTATATATGCTTACAGATTATAAGCAAGCAAGTATGTTTGAATAGCAGGATAGATGGAAATGTAGTTTTTTGCACATTAAAGCACACTTCTTGCAAACACAGCAGCTATTGTAAATGTCTCTCTAGGTCAGTGTGCACTACTGGTATGTTTGCAGCTTCCTGTAAACAGAAAACATCTCCTTTAATAAAAAGGAATTTGTAGTGAACAGACGCTTCAGCTGTGTATTTTAAACCATTCATGTAACTATTAAAGTATAACATGCCACCAATGTAGTAAAATGCAATACTTGAAAAATTCTAATGTCGAGATATGAGGTTTTCATGTAATTTTTATTCAATATAAAATGTTGAAAATGTAATCTATTGTATTCTTTAATTTTGTTAATTCTGTAGATAAACCAGTACTCTGGTTTTGCCAGACTTACTGAAAAATATTACATACAATGGTTATATGTAATACACCAAGATTCAGTCATAAATTGGTTAATAAAATTTTAATGTCTTAATTCCTATTAACATGATTTTTCTTAAATTGATTCAGTAGAGAAGCACTGAACTGTAGAAATGCCACTCTGTTAGGCAATGTGCATAGTACTGTTATTCACAGTCACTGTGAAAGACAAGACTAAAGCAGTCAGCACTATTTCTGGGTGTCATGAAACAAAAAGTGGCTTTATCCTATTGGAGCTGATCCCAAAGCACATTGCAGATCTTATGACCAGAGAATTAAGGTTAAGAAGTTTGTTCTTGTCAGCTTTAACTTGGGTCAAGGGTATTGTTGATTAATGTGCTTGGAGTTAAATATTAGCTCTTTATTTCCCCTAGGCAAACTGGAAATATAGTTTATATTTAAATTCTAAGCAGTGATTTTTCATTATTATTTCTAGCATAATAGCTAAAACCTCTGCATTTGTTTTGTTTTGTTCTTTGGTTTCTGTTTTCTTTTAAGGTCGCTTGAGTTATCCACATCCAGGGACTGACAATCTTCTGATGTTAAATGGTAAGTGCTAATCTTATAACAGTTTCTAATTATCTCTAGCTTAGCTTAAATCTGACATGTTGGTATAAAATTATACTATTATATTCTGTTATTGAATTACTTGCCTCTAGTCTTCAACACTGATGGGACTGTTGCCGTTTTTCAGAGTTGAATGGCAAGAGCTAATCTTGCAACAGCCTTTCATTATATCTAGCTTATTTGAAATCTGAAATGCTCGTAACGATGCACTGTTCTTTTTTGTTCTCAAGCAAACCAGTGGTATGTTCTCCAACAATCTGCTAGAAATCTGTTACACAGAAACAGGAATTAGAAAAATAAGAAGGCCAGGAAGGCATGTTTTTCTATCTTGTATAAATAAAGGGTGAACTAGATACTTTCTATTACACTTACATGAAATAACATTTTATTTCTGTTGGGTTTTTTGGAACTGGCTTTGTCAAGTATGTTTCTAACTGCGAAATATGCTGGAGTTAGAGTTCATGTTCACGTTCCTCTCCCAGTAGGTCAAACTTCATGAACATCTGCTGCTCAGTGAAGGCATGAACTTTAGCCTTTGTTCAAGGCTAAAGAAGGAAGCAGAGCTTGGTAATCCATCAAAGTCAATAATAAATCAGGGGGTTTGCACACAAATGTTTTCTACATTGGGAAAAATTAGAGCTATAATGCCACAGCTATTCTAGATGAGAAAATGTGGAAGCTGTTGTACACAAAGCAAGTACACTTTTGCCATTGACTTGATGGGTCTCAACATTACCAGTAAAGACCTAATTATTAAAAAATACGGTCAGAATACTTATTTCAGGTTTGTGGTTCTATGGAGCTCTTTTTTTAATTGCCTTACCCTTCTGCACAGCCATTTACACTTGTGTAAATGGATATAAAATGTAAAAAATATCTAATTTCCCTTGTGTAACACTGGGTAAATGTTTAAAATTTTAAGGAAATTCAGGTTTAGCTTTATACCCAGTAAAGGAAGATATTGCACAATGAACATTTGAAGAGTTAGGTCCTTTGGTATTGAATGGTTCTTTTGAGATAATGGAGTATCTTGAAAAGTGAAAATAGCTATTTAACTATTGAAATAAAATTAGTGTTTAGTCCACACAGGCCATAATCCTGATTTCTGTACATTGAATATCGATGTGCTTGATGTTACAACATTTACAACAGTTAACTTTCTGTATTTAACTGCAACTGTAAGACCTATTCTGCAAGCTGGTTTGTTCAGGTGATGTATGTGCAACTGTCATTATCTGCTGATTTATGATGAAGTGTTAGACGGGAAGGTATTAAAAACTAAGCAATCTTATGAGCAACTGTGAAATATTTCAATGCAATCAGGGTAAGAAATTCATATCATTTTAATTTGTTTTAATACTTAGAATGATGAGCTTCTGTTTTTATAGTTTTGCATGCTAAAAGAGCATGTGGGAAGCATCGTTACTGTATGGAATGTCTAGGAAAAAGGTTTTAGCTATCATCACGGACATTGGAAAAATGCATCTCAGTGGTACCAGTCTATCCTGAAAACCTTCCCACAGAGCTAGAATATGCACTGAAGAATATCTTGTTTATTATTAATGCTGGTGGGGTTTCTACTGTAGGTTGGAAGTTAGCACTTAATGTGACTGCTCTGCTCTTTAAAAGCTGCAGTGTTATTTCCAACCTTTAATAGGTGAGATAAAAATAACAATTTGAGTATCTAAAAGACAGGTGCTGCAAGACCTAATTTTTAGGTGTGCCCTTTACAATTTAATTCAGAGCCTTGGTTTAGACATCTAAGCTCTTCACCATGTACCTGGAGGGTCTCATGTTCAGTCACCTCAAGTTGGAGTGTCTGAACTGCAGCCCCTTACAGCTGGAGAACAGAAACACTGGGAACAGCTTCTGGGAAGCTCCAGCTGCTCAGACTCTGCAAAACCTTTCTTTCTTAGCAAGAATTGAGGGGCTTCCTCCAAATGTGCAGTAATGAGAATTACAGCTTGAACGCTTGCTGATAAAGTTGTAGACTTCAGTTTCCTTCTCTGCTTAAGTGGATTCAAGCTGACATTTCCCTCTATCCCTGTAATTGGTGCCTTGGAGGGAGGAATAAGGAAGAGGAGAGCTGATAATCCAGAGCCTCACATTTGTCCCTTACTTTCTCAGTAAGTGTTGTAGTTGCTACAAGGAGGAGCAGGAATACCAGACCTTCGTAAAAGAAAAGCACCAACGTTTTTAAGGATCCTGGGCCCATCTGTGTGTGCACTCATACTTAAGTAATAGTGAGGATCATGACCCTCACTGGATTTTAGTTGGCTTGATTTTAGTGCACTGGTATCTCTGGATCCCAGTAAGGTTCTGACATGAGCCAGGCTGGAATTCCTCAACCCTTTTAAGACTAAGCACTTCTAGATAAAACTTATTTTTAGCTAGTTTTTCCTCTTCTTAAATGATAGATCTTTTCCAGCTCATTTAAAGTGTACTTACTGAACTGTACCTAATATTAATATTTACAGTTTTCATTATTTAAATTAATGAAATGAACCAAAGGAAAGCTGATTTATGTGTTTTAATAAATTATATGTCTGATAATTACATATCTGTTTCAGCTGAAGCTGTAAAAAAGCAATGCATTTTTAATGACTGCTATCTCTCAAAAGTAAAAAAAAAAAAACAAAACTTTGGAATGAGTTTACCTGAGTACATCTTTAATTGGTGACTTAGAGAGAATCTTTCTGTAGCAAGTAATAATGCAAGAGTCCAATTTGTTGGGGTGTAGGGTCTTTTATCCCCATTATAGCGTTCCCCCCCTTTTATAGTTTTAAAGCATTGAATTTTTTTAATGGCTATTGAAAGATAATTCAGCATTTTATTAGTTTAGCAAGGGAGTATTAGGCTTTCCACCTTAAAGATACTATAGCTGGTTGTGCTTCTAAAAAAAGGTGTTTTACTTCAAACAGAAGTTACTAAACTTCCTATACAGGAATTGCTAAATGAGTGTCTGTAGTCTGTTAGGCATGCCAAACTTGAATGGTCATAACAATCTCTTTCAGCTTTAAAATCTATAAAGATGTGATTTCTAAAGAAATCTTAATAGAATTTAGGCACCCAAATCCAATAGAATAAAATGGGAATTAGGCACCTACCTCCTTTAGTCTAGACCCTTGGGAAATTTTTGCCATAATTGTTTATGGATTTCTTTAAATGACAAATAAGTATTAATGAAAAAGGCTCCATTACTTCGCTGTCACCATTTGATCATTAAATCGGAAATGTTAGTGACAAATAGTATTTTATCTTATTTTCTATCATAAATTTTCTAGTTATCTTTAAGTATAGGAAGCTTGCCTAGTAGTTTTTCCCGTTACACAGCATGGTATTTTGAATTCAGCTCAGTCGTTCAGTTGAGTTATTTAAATATGTACATATTTGATTTCTGGTATATATTTGAGATACGTGTCTGAATAAAATGGAAATTATGCATTTACTATCTGTGATGGCATTGCTCACATAATGAGCAAAGTTATATTGTCTTGTTAGGTAAACATGCACAAAAAGTGTATTTACTTCTGTCTCATTTCTATCTCTGAGCTGATTTAAGTTGCAGAAAGGAGGGTATTAATTTTTTTTGACAGGTTTAAGCCTTATTAGTATGCGACTTCAGGGATATAGAAACAGAAGATTTTTAACTCTAAGGGAATGTCTTTGTTGTATATATGGCACTCTTAATGTTGGAAGGTTCCAACGTTATTGGACTTCATTTTTATTGGGCATCATTATACTTCTTGCATGTGTTGCCTAATTTATATTTTCTAGAGTCAAAGTGCATCGCTTATACTTTCTCACTCATTTGAAATCTTTCAGAGTTTTGGCTAATTAAGATATCCAGCTTTATAGACTAAAAGATACAATAAATATTTCTGTATGACTTCTTCTTTGAACAAGTTCAGGAAAGAAGGAAGAAGTTTAGTCTCTCCTTTTGTTGCTGTAAATCAATTATTTGCCTACAGTGTCTGGCCTTTCCCAAAGGGCTGTCTCCCCTGCAATTATTTATCTAAGCATATGCAGTAATTATGTAGATGTATATATTAAATACATATATATAAAAAACCTATATGCATAGCTAAATCTGTAATTAAATATATATAATGTGTATATTTATACAGACTGCATGCTCTGTAAGCATATGTGCTCTGAAAGATGTAAAACAGTAGGTGCATCTTATTTTAATAAATACAGAAATATTTCTGACTGAATCTAACATCTTCAGAAAGAATCTTATTGCTTACAATGCACTAAAAGTTTGATTCAGTGGAACTATTTTCACAAGTAGTATTTGGCCTTTGAAAGAAAGTTTATATATATATGTAATGGGGAGAGATTAAAATACTGAAGTTTCATGAAGATAGGATACGTTTGCTTTAACATCATATTTTTAGTAACAGTAAGACTTTGCACTTATTAAAACAACTCACCTATAATATAACCACTGTGGTCTTAAAGTCTGGATAAAAATAGGAAAAAATAACAATTTTTGCAAAACCATGCATTTTCATGTTAATGATCACATTTATTGCAGCAGTGCCTACAGATTGTCTAAGAACGGGATCGCATTTTTCTAGACACAAAGTGGCAGAAAATCCCTGCCCAAACTAGTTTACCGTCTAAATGGACAAGACAGATCAATATCAGGGAAGGAGGTTTAGCATACAAGTAAAGTAAATGATGTGACAACATCAAGTACGGTTATTTTTCCATTTTCTCTGATTTCATTGTTTTGCTGAAGCAAAGAGTACACAGATAACTTTAGTGCATCATTGTCATTTTGATATATATAAAATACTGCAGCAACTACCCTTTCAAGTTGAATTGCATTGGGGTTTTTTTAGCATTTTAATAACCCTTTTGTGTTTCTCCTTAAAATTACTGTTGTTTATTTTTATATGCACAAAGAAAAACAGTTCAAGTGTTCTGTAACAATATTTTTATGCATATCAGCTTGTCTTAACTATGAAAATATAAGAAAATAGCTGAGCTGGTTTGGTGGGCAGAAAGGAGCAGAAGTGGCAGAAGGGAAGAAAAATTACTAAGGCTTGTGCCAAAAGATGGTTATTAATATGCATTAGTATATTATTCTTTGAGAGGGAACATGGCACTGCAGTCATTGCTATGGAGTGATGCACTTGAATTTTCCCTGGTTACTCTGGTTTTATTTGTGGAAGGAAAAAAAGGGGCATACGAGGGGTTAGACGAGGACTTGGTGACGCTGCTGGTAATGCTATGTGGGAGTCACTTTGGCCAAGAGTCAGAAAAGATCCATCCGTGCTGCAGCACTGACTCAGAACTGCGTGTCTTGGAAGTGCCCGACTTCAGAGGAAAACAAGTCTGAAGTTCAGCGTTAGTCTCCCCATGCAGCAGCAACTAATGAGAGAACTAATCACACAGAAGAATACATTATGTTTTGTGGATTCTGTTTGGATGTGGGAAATCTGAATTTAGGTGTTTCCACTTGGTTAGTTACCCAAGTCTCTCCCGGAAAGTGGGCTTTTCTGGTTTGGCTTACTAGTAGAAAGTTGGAGGATCTGAAAAACTGCAAGCAAAAGACTCTTCTTGTCAGTAGTAATTCTTTCAGATGAAAGAAACTAAATTCGGAAGTGAGTTCGATGCAAGTTGGGTAGGAATATGATGACTGTTGTGTAACAAATCAACGGTTTTAAGGGAGAAAAAACAAGGAGAGAGATTTTCAGAATTCCATAAGCAATCCACTGAATTCCTAATACGAAGGGATCAAGATAACAAAAAAAAAATTATATTTACTAAAAATTTTGAAAAAACCCATGCGAATGGGAGGTACCACGATATAAGTATTTAATAATATGAGAACGGAACAGTGACTGACATTTATGATTCACTGAGTTTATGAGGCCGCATGTATTTCAATGTCCCAGAACCACAGTTGCTTTTTAGGAGAGATGTATGTATGGACTCCTAGTAAAATCCAAACAATAATGCCAAGATACAGCAATCTTTGTTCACAAATGTTGCTATAACGTTATGGTTTATAATAATATTTTCTATTTGTTTATTTAACTACAATGCTGCAACGATTAAAGTAATCTTTATCAGATTCAAAGTCTGTGAAACGGGAATAGAAAATACTTTTTGGAAATGTAACTAAGAAATTACACACAGCTTAATAGTTTTTGTATTAGTAATCTGTCTATTTTTAGTTTCCTAGCCTTCAGGCAGAGAAGCAATCAGTATGGTCTTCTGAAGTGTAGCTATAAGCATGATCTCTTAAAGAGTCTTGCAAAACTCAAAAGTTAGGAAAATCTTGGATTTACTTGCAGTCTGTCAGAAATTGTTGCTTTGCCTTTGTGCAGTGTTTTTGATACAATGCTATTTCTTGTGACTTGTGTCCTGATTTTGTTTGCTACCACAAGGAGTCTTTTGTTTCAAACAAAACCTTGTGGTTAATTTTCTGCTAGGTCTTTTCATGAAAAAGGAAGGTCACGGCTTATAGCATTTGTATTGTCACTGCAAAGGACTGTACAAACTGTTCCGTGGACCAGGATGTTTCTGTGATTAATTTAACGCTTGCTACAGGCTTTTTAAAGTAATATTTTCCTTTTTACAGTTTCAGTACCCTGTGTGTTATTTAGACACTTGTGTAAGATACGAATCACATTTGTGAGGATGAATTACAAAGTTACCATAATTTATGCATCCACAATTAACATGAGGTTAAGATCAAGTATAAAGACACGTTGAAATATTTTAAAGTATGTTCTTTACAGCTGGTGCTAACGTCAATTTAGTAGTAAAATAGTATGGTATTTAAGTGAAACTTTAGTTTAATGCATTCTCATCTACAATTATCAATAGCAAGTACCGATGCAGATTTTTACTTATCGCTTACCCACATAGTTCTTTGTATCTTAAATATTTTAATATGTGGGCATGATACAGTTATTTGACGTTTTACAATTTGTCCTTTGTTTGCATGCAGCGAGGAGTTATGGGCGAAGACGAGGTAATTCACTTCTGTTTGTTATAGTACAATTAATTCTGATTGAGCTGTTACTGATCATTACAATTAATTAATCGAGATTGTTGATTATGAACGCTTATCTGCATGTTGTCTTAGTTTGGGGAAGAGGGAGGGTGAGGGAGGGAGGGGTGCAGTCTGGATTGTTATGATCATTGATCTCTTTTTAGAGTTTGAATTACAAATCCTTTAATCAGTTAAAACACTGTAGTTCTAATCATAATTTATTTCATGCTAATGGCTACTACTTGCAGTCGTTGCCCCCTTTAAAAATATACAGTTTGCTAGTTGTTCTTCTAAATCATCTTTTGTTGCTTCTGTAGAAGTGATACTGCACAGAGTAAAAACTAAAAGCCTTTCATAGACTTAGCAAGAAATCTAGTAGACAACTCCTAGAAAGAGTAAACAGATTTTCGTAGTATAAGCCAATATATGCTCGTTGACCTTGGAAGATACCGATGTAACTATAGGAGGATGTGACTGCGGCTGTTGGATGTGACCATGTAAAGTGTGCAGCAAAAACGTCAAGATCTTTGGTAGCTTCCAGTGTTCACAACATACACATAAGTTCATATATGGTCTCTCTCTTGATCTCTGCATTGGTTCATAACTGATTGCTTGGTCGCCCTAATGTAGAGGGGAATGATGATCTACGTCATGGGCAATGTATGTAAAAGTACAATCGTGTTTTGACGGTTCTGCTTAATTCTTTTCACTGTCATAAAGCAAAAAGAAACAAGTGTTTAAATGGGCTTATCCTTTTAATTCACAGTGATCGGGAGAAATGTGAAAGCCTAGCAAATTACCTTTTCGCTCTCTTCATCTGAGAGGCATTTAAAAGTGAAGAGGAGGAAGAAAAAAGTACTAGGAGTCATATCGAGCATGTTCCTCTAAATGTGTTGTTAATCCAGTGTCCTCTCTGTCATCTTAGTTCTCTGAGGAGTTACAGTGCTTTTGGCAAACCTTTACCCACATTAAAGTAAAACTAATTTCTCTGGTATCACTTCAGAACATGTTCTGATTCTTTAATTTGTACTGGGAAGAGAGCTTTAGATTCTCCTTGTTCTTAGATTTTAACATTAGTCTGTGGGTAAAAAATAAATTATTCTGAGGATTATTCGATTATTGTATATTGTAAGTTGGAATTGTCTAAAAAGTACTTTTAGAGAAACAGAAAAACGTAATTTTCATAGTCTGAAGAGACTCCTTCCTTAAGTATAAATTGTGTGTTGTTTTCTAAAAAACAGAACAAAAACTGGAAAAAAAACCCAACACACTTAAATGCTTTTGTTGCAATATTCTGATGCCAACAAGTTTATTAAAACTGGCATGTTTTTAAGTCACTTAAGTCTCTTTTTTCCTGCAGTATACAGACTTGCAGAGGTAAAGAGCAAATCTATGTGCTTTTTATAAAGATAACCCAGATAAATTACAGTCATTTTAGATTTAAGATGTTAAGAATAACTATCATATATTAGTGAAAATTCTTTAAATTTCCACTTATGCAGTTTCCTGCGAGTTCCTCCAATTTGAGTCTTATTTCTTCCATGAGCCACATTTTCCTTTCACTGTCACTATGATAACAGCTCCATCTTCTCCATCGTTCACATCAGTAATTCAGAAATCCGTCGTTATATCCCGCTTTCTTGATTGTGTAACCAAATCTTACCACTTCTTCGTAGACATCTTTAAGATCTCATCATTCTTATTAGTCTTCGTAACTGAAACTCATATCCACATTACTTAGCTTTTGCAGCCTTCATAGCATGATCTTCCTCGTCTTTGTCTAAATAGATGATTTACAAGAAGAATCTGCCTGGCTGCTTCTTCCAACTGCGTTAACTTTCTCTTTCTCCCTTGCTTCCTCACTTTTCTGCCCCATTGAGCACCAGCTACATGCTTCCACTTTAAAGGCACTCTACTGATCTGTTACCTAGCTGTTGAATGCATCCTGATGATAGCAAGCAAGGATGCCATCACTTGCTCCCCCCAGTCATATTCTCAAATGCACATGTCACTAATGGAAAGGAGGAGCCTGCTACAGCTTTCTGCATTTGCTGTACTCCTCTACATCGGATGCCTACTTCAGACTTAACTGTGAAATGCCAGCATAAAGATGTTGTAGTTACCGTTTTTGTTACTTAGTACAGTCCTGTGGTTCTGCTTTTATTTTGTGGTCCTTGTGACATTTTATTATGTTTGGTTGTTTTCTATCATCTTGTGCTTTCATTTGGTATTTTTGATGTACTATATTTTTATTACGGATTTAGATACCAAATCAGGGTCCTTAGGCATTACCACAACATAGGTCATTGGTCATGATGTTTGCTGTCTGTTCTGCAGCCTTGTCTTTAAGCACTTGATTCTCAGGTGGTTTTCTGGAATTGAATGGCTTTCATTTTGCTCTCACCCCTAGCTGATCAGCCCAATGTCTGCAGGTGTTCCTATGGGGCTTTCCTGGTAGTATTCCCCTGAGAGGGGATAAAAGTTACAGACTGCAGTATGGCTCACAGTTAAGGTTCTGCAGACTCAGCTCAGGGACCTACTGCTCCTGTGTATGGATTCGCAGTGGGTGAATCTGGAAGAAGTTGGCTATTTGAGATGGGAAATTAACTTCTTTCCCAAAAGTGTGCTAGGTTGTTTTTTGGTTTTGTTTGCTTGCTTGTTTTTGGAAAGTGGTTTAATTAATAATTATTTTTAAAATGAGTGAAACAGGAAAAATTGCACTTCAGAAGAAATGGCGATGTGGGGTATTTATTTTGCTTCACAAAAGTGTTTCTTTTTGGGCTTTTTGCAGTTAAAAGACTGATTTCTGAATTTGAAACTGCCATTAATCTTTATGTTGCTAATCTAAAGCAGTGAAAGTTTGAATAAGCTAAGATGCATATCCTGGCCTTCCAAGTCTTTTCATTCTGGAGTTCTCTAAAATTTGTAAATATGAAATAGGGGGGAAATAAGTGGGACAGAATTACCATGTTTTCACTCCCCCCTGCCATCTATACATCTGTTTTGATCAGTTTGCATTTGCAAAGCCATCCTGTGAACTTCTCAGATTTTACACTTGCTTTTCAGGGTAACTATAATCTTACTGCAGATTGCTGCATGTTAGGAAGCACCACAAGGCTTCCCTCCAAAAATGTGGTAAATTTGAGAGCAAGAAGGATAAATCATCACTGTGACTCATTTTTCAAGTGTTACATTTTGCACATTTGTTAAGATTCTCTTTTGCTTTCTTAGAATTTAAATCTGTTCTTAACATTATCAGCATCAGATACCTTTAAAACAGAAGAGAAAACATCCCTGTTTGAAACGTCTTACTGTGTACATGTTTTTTCTGTTTCCCTCTGTTCAGTTAAAGTGTAAGATTTTTAGACGTGCAGTAGTTATTCAGGTGATGGAAGTTATCAATTTAACTTGAAGCTAAACCGAAGGCAGACTAATGAAACTCACTTAAGCATCCCTTAATATGATCTCTTCATAAGTAAGACCCTTTATTTAAAAACAAATTACTACTTTCATACTGGATGCAGCAGAGTAACTACAATATAATGTAGTATGAAGTATTATGCAGTGATGTCAGCTTGCAATCTTGAATTTCCTTCTTGAAGTTTAATTTCATTTTCTTAATTTTTCTTTAAACTAATGTGTACTTTTCTAGTATCTTGATATTTTCAGTTTTACTTTCCAGACTGCTATTCCCCCATTCCCTAGAATTAGATAACCATGTACTGCCACAAAATTATTTTAATGTATATTATTATCTTTTCTTTTCAAGGCCGTTCTTCCCTCTTCCCAATAGATGATGGTTTGCTGGACGACAGTCATAGTGATCAAGTTGGAGTCTTGAATTCACCTACCTGCTATTCAGCTCATCAGAATGGAGAACGAATTGAGCGTTTTTCTCGGAAAGTGTTTGTTGGAGGTCTTCCACCAGATATTGATGAAGGTGAGCTGCCTGAAAACTAAGCAAACTAATTTTGGAGGGAGAGAGAAAGACATTTTGAAAAATGTAAATGAAGTAGTAGAAATAATCCACCCAGGAAAATAATGTTGTGGTATAAAAAGCTACAACTATATTTTTTTATAGGAGTTGATGGGTATGTTGAGCTTAATGTCATTTGATGTCATCCATCTCTTTCGGTTTTGAGATGGTTCAGTTGCCTCTGATTCTGCACTTGCAGATTGTGGTTGCATGTAATGCCTGGAATTCGTGCTCCTGCTTACCTTGCATATTCATTTCAAATACATCTTAGCCCTTCATGGTGTCCTCTGTCTGTGCCTGCTTTAGTTTCTATTCATAGAAAACTTCTATTAGTAATTGAATTTCAAATTATTTTTTACTGTTACCTGAAGATCTCAGAAATGGTTTAGGTTAATATTATTCCTGTTCATAAATAGAGAAACTAAGGCAGAGGAAGGTCAAGTGGCAGAGCACTCTGTGATGCATTGAACACAGAATGTACCACAGAAGCTCAGATTGTTACGTGATGCAGTTGGAATTGCTTTGTACAATTGTGCTGATTTGAAGTAATCATGCTGTTTAATATTAGGTTTCTCCTGTGCAGATAAATGTAAATTACATGCTAGCTTTGTAATGTAAACAGAAGTCCCTTTACAAGGTTCATTGTAATCCTAGAGTAACTTGCAAACCAAATAAGCTGACTGTCGTTAATTAACTTTCAGATACGAAATATGGAGAGACCATATTTTGGTTTCATCTTCATTGTGGTGCTCCAAGGGATTTATTTTAATATACTTCAGCTTTTTTTTGATGCACGTTAGCATCTAATTCAAATGTGCACTGTTGCCTTTAATACAAACGCTAAACAAAGACACGTGGAGATATATTTTCTTTCTTTCCTGACTGTTTATATGCTGATGGCAGGATGCGACTCAAAGAAATGGAGCATATTTGTGTTTGATGGGTTATTGCTCTTGTAGAGTTTAGGGTGGTTTAATTTTTTGCTCATGGCCAAGGTTCTTACAGTCAATGACAGGAAGGAATGGCTGCGGTAGAAAGACATCACAAAGTTGTGCAGGGGGCATAGTAGATCTTGCAACAGGACTCTTCATGGTTATGTTAGAACCACCTCCAAATAGGCAATTTCAAGTTTCTGTGCCTGATCTGTGCATGGTATCTGCTGGAACCTGCTAGCATGTTGATTATGGTGGTACTTATTATATGAGTATCTACCTACAAAGCTCTGAACTGTACATCACTAAAAGTAAATTCTTTAGATTGCATTCAAACCAGATTCTGAATTGAAGGAAGTAGCACACCACTTTTCAGCACTGCCTTTAGTTGCCCGTATGCTTCTGAAATGCTCCTGTTATTAAGCAATAAAAAACAAACGTAAGCTTAAAATCACCAGAAGTATACTGAGTAAATATTCACACTTTGGAAGATGCATCTGTTTAAGTTTTTGGTTCGTGAAAGTTGGAAGTTTTGTTCCTTTTTTCCCAAGAAATGGCAGCCTTTGCTAGAAACAAAGATCTTTGCTTGATAGTACTTTTTCATTGAGTTATGTCATTTATTTTAATTGCAACTATTATACCTGTTTTTAGATGAAATTACTGCTAGCTTCCGACGATTTGGGCCTTTGGTAGTAGACTGGCCTCACAAAGCAGAAAGCAAGTCCTATTTTCCACCAAAAGGTAAGAGAGTTGGAAGGTTTTGACCTGTCACTGAGTGCAAATCTTACTCTGGGAAACTGTCTCGTCTTTTTCCAAAGGGTATAATTTACAATCCCTGTGAACAGTTAATTCTACAGTTTCAGTGCAGGTTCAGACATGGTTCCTTTACATACCACGTCTAAAACCTGAGAGTGTTGTTTTAGTACTGTGCCTGGTTCAGTGCTAGACTCCTGAAGGATCTTCCATATTCTGATTTCCCATATATCAGATGAGCATTATATAGTTCATTCATAGCAGCAATTCATTCCTTCCCTGGAAGTGACAAAAGAAGGTATAGTGCCTTTATAAAGTGATTCTTCATTTATTTATCTGACCATCTGTGCTGGGGAAAAGATGGGATTATTATCCCAGATGGGTCCTCTAAAGAGTGGGAAATGGAATTGAAAGTATTTGAATAGTATATATGAACATTACATGGAAATTCTAAGACAAAAACTTGGGCTTTTTTGATTGTCAGCCTGATACACAAAGCTACTGTCAAATTAAATTTGATTATCCTAAGGAGTGCATCTCTTTTCATAAATTACCAAGAGAAATTCTTGAGGAACTCCTTGAGGAAGATGCATCTCGCAGAGTCTGTGATGAATATATAGAAGAGGGAAGATGTAATATATTCTTACCTGAAAGGAATGGATTCTGGCATTCATTTCCAAGGATATAGTCCTGTCTCAGCATCTGAACATCTTAAGGATGTATTTCGAGACTTCCTCATTTAATAAAGCTTTTTGATACAGTTGGAATATTTATAATCACCACAGTTAAAAAAAAATCTGTATTGTAAGCAGAGCTTTTTAAAAGCAGAGAATACAAATAGAAGAACTTCAGTCTGATCTAATTAATTCAGTAAACACTTGCGAACTAGGTGTTGATTTCCCATGATTAACTGATACTTATTTGAAATTTAATAGCACTTACTGTTCTTCAATCTTAAAACTTTATTCTAATTTTCAGTTTACTACATTATTCGATATTTTTTTGTAATATCACCTAACATTTAAAATACAGCATAGGTTTCCCTTTGTAGATATGCTGGAAATATAACTTACTATTAACTGTTGAATATTACTGTGTTTATATCTGTTTTTTTCAGTACAATAGATATGGCCCATGATTATTTTGTAGAAGAATTTCTTAAAAATTTGTCTTTCTTTTGTCTTTGTATTACTCATGCGTGCAGGCAAGAACCATGTATACATATATTTAATAAGATAACCATGTATAAATATATTTAATAAGATGTCTGCAACTGCTGACTGTTGGTGTACTTTGTTTGTTCAGTCTCATTAGAGATTTGACATGGTATTACTTTCCAAAGACATCTCAGAATTATCCAGTTCTGAACTGATTTATGTAATAGTCTTCTCTGTGGTGAAGAGATACAGCTTGCTCCTTTTTTTTTTTTTTTTCTACTCTTGTTCAGTTTTCCAGGCTGTGGTTCCTTCCAGGCTCTCTGCTTACAGAAAGTCCTGAGGGAAGGCCATGTTCATAATAACTATTTCCTTGCTTGAAGAAATGCAGAAAGTGTCCTGATCCATCAAGGCTGGCTGCCTCCTGAGAAACACCAACTGCTTGTTCTTAACCAATTACATTTTGTATTGGTTCATCACAAAATTAGGCCCAAAGAAAACAGGAATTTTAAAAAATTCACACTAATCTTACAAGGAAACTCTGTTCTGAAGTGGAAAAAAATTATTCTGTTGAGATCAAAGTACGAAGTCTGTAAGTGATCTGCCAACTGTAACGGAGAATTCCTTCCTTTCTGACTCGCCAGTGTTTATCATAACTCCTGTTATTACGTAGTTGGCAAATATACTTATTTATGAAACAAAACACATGTCCAAAGCAACTTGCTGAGGTGAGGACTCCTCCTTATGATGATGAAGTTCTCAAAGAAATGATGCCATGAAGATATGCAAATCCAAAGAAGGCCTTCCAAAATATGCCCAGTTGTTTTTGTGCTCTCTACTATTTATAGTCCATATCAAACAGAGGATAATCTGATTTAAACAGGACAGTATCCCCGGCCTTTTCTAATTGTCTGGGTGTTCCTATTGCCTTGTATCACAGCAGTTGTGCAGTAGCTTCATTTATTCAAGGCTCTTAACTGCTAATTTAGAACTGACTGAAAAAATTAGGTTGAAAATGTTCTGTTTCTAGTTTAAGAAGCAAACCCCCAGCTCCATCCAAGTTCTGTTTAACTTGTTACCAGCTTATTTGATCACACTGGGTAGGATTGAACTCTGGATTCAGGCAAGTGACTGGAGGTGTCTTCATGTGTGATTAGTGTCTAAGCTTCCTTTAATCAGTAGGAATCTGACCAATGCAGTCAGTGGAGTGTAGGGGGCTATTCAGGTCACCGTAACATAAGCACATTGAGCTTGAATAATTTACCCAAACCGAGGATATGTGAAAGATCTTGCAAATGTGGCGCGGCACTTACTGAAGCCCCACACCATTCTGGAGCACCAGCTGAAGGTTTGGCAAAGTCCTGTAGAGGATAGATGGTGCCAGACACCTCCGTGTCTCACTTGGTCAGCTGAATAACTGTCCAGTCACCACTGACTACATTAACTGGATCTCTCTACTGCAGTAGGAGCTTAAACACAGTCACTGCAGAAATATGGAAATAGGTGTTTGGATCTTGAAGTGAATCCTGCTCCCCCCTACTCAAAAGTGCCTCAGCTAATAACTACATTACAATTGTATCAGCCTGCGTTTTTTCCACTTCAAGTGTATTTTGGAGTTAATTCTCCACCAAAGATGACTAAACTGAACAAGTGAAGGATTTATGTTTTAAAGATTAAATTTAATTAATATGGTGATGAGATCTCTTTAAAGAGGAGTAGATTAAATGTTGTGTGTTCTCCCCAAATGTGAATTATTCCCATCCTCAAATGTAGATCCATTGTCTGTATTAACCTGCAGTTTACACTGATTCTTTCTGATTTAAGCTAAGGCGCAGTATTCTGCAGGCAAGAATTGCACTGCACCGAAGCCATTTAGTCTCCTCTGGGGAGAGTCTGTCAGGACAGTAGAGGAACCAACCCCAAAACAAAATCAAGCAGTACTGACTGGCATGGACGGTGCCATGCTGGCTTGCACTGAGTTTCTTGACTCCTTCTCTAAGCCACTGGCGATAGGAGTTAACTGGAGTTCAATAGAACTTAAAGCTGCTCTCTGATTTCTACACAGAGTATGCATAGCAGAAGCGTCCTTTCTCCTTCTGGTAAACTTCCGTATTACTATGAAATAAAGAAATTATACCTTGCTAAGAAAATTGTGTTAGCTACCAGTGTGAATCTAGTCTAGAATGCTTTGCTTTTGATTCATTCTTTATGTAATAAAAAAAAAAAAAATTATAAGATTTAATTTGGTAATATAGCTAGGACTCTTCAAACTTATCTGATGGGCTTTCTGTTTCCAGTGCTGACACAATACATTAAAAAGAAAAAAAATTACTTCATATTTTGGTCTGGTTTCATTAAGAGAGATGTCAGCTCAGTAAGGATGACTATAACCAGTGCATTATCTTTAGATATCAGGGAATGCAGTTCTAAAGCCAATTATCATCTCCAGAAAGATTTGTTTATTATTTGAGGTAATTTTCTGAGGACAGGTATTATCAAAGTCACCCACACTGGTTGCCTTTGAAAACAGGAGTATTAGTAATAGTTCCAGTGTTATGCAGAGGAATTTAGTTAAGTGATAAATACTAACAGGGCTTACCTGAACTTTGTTTCCCAAAGGAGGCATAAATTCTGGTAGAGGTGCACAAGAACAAGAAATTTTTATAAGACTGTGTTTCATCTAATGCTTTTCACCCTGTGAAATATGTACAAAGCATAAAAGTTTTGTCTCTTGGCAAGTAATATCTGATCATGACCTGCTACTGTTGGTGTACATATGACCCAAGGGTATGAAGCATCTTCCTTCAAAGAAAACTATTAGAGTAGCTTTGCTTTTCCATTGTAAACAAACTTGCATTGCTATTGGGTGTGAAGCTGTTAAAGTTAAATGACTGATGTGGTACACCAAAAAAACCAAGAAACTAGGGAGTTAAGCTCTATTGTAGTACAGTAAAACACCTCCTACTCTTCACCCTATCTCCCCACCACATTTCACTGTGACGTGTACTTTCTATCGCACACAGTAATTGTAGTTCAGTACTACTCCAAAAAGACTAGTTAGGCACTTGATCTTTTTCATCATACTTATGCACGTGACTTACCACCACCATACTAGCTTTGCAGACATTAAACATCCACAATAGTTCATGAGTTATGGATGTTAAGGTGAAAAATAATCCAATAAAAGCGTATATTGAGAAAGCAGAACGGGGTAAGAATAAAGTTTGTGCCATAAAGTTGTTGGCATGTGGTAGCTGTAGTAACAAGAAGAGCCCTAATTTAGGATGTCTAAATGAAGTACCTAAGATAAGAGTGTAGTTTGCCTTTGCAAGCTCTTTCTAGCTAATGAATATAGGCTGGTTGCCTATGTAACTGGTGCTCTTTGGAGAAGTCTATGGCTAATGGATAATTGATTTGTGCCAGGAAATGCACCCTGGTCCAGGGCAAGTGATGGACAGTGGTTTGTATGCAAACTGTGCAAGTCTAGCATTCTTTGGAAGGGATTTGCTGTCTCTGTATATAGCTATAAAACGTGGGAGCTGAGCAAATTATCTTCTTTAGTTGGTTTTCTTCATCAAGAGAACTTGTTATTTTCCTCCAGGCTAGGCTTGGGGAGCAAACTAAAATTCATTGTAAATCATCAAAGGGCTAGAGCTGTGGAGCAAAACTACAGCCAGACCAGTTTGATAGTACAGACTATACCCTAACTTGCTCTGTGTCTTCAGAGGGGGAGTAGTACAGCTAAGCTCATGACACAAGCCTGTCTGATGCTTAAAATTAAGTGTGATGAACCCAGACTTGAGTACATGTTTTTTGCCGATGACATTGACAAGACAGTATTAACGTATGGTGTTGGTATTGCTTTCCTTTTATTTCAAGTGTGGTAGGATATAGTAATCCTAGTTGTTCCCTCATCAAGTTCTTGTATTTGAATTTTCTATCTTTTTACAAGCTGCCGCATTTAAGCATATTAATAGCTGCAGACTTACAGGTGGTAGATCATGTAGAGACACTGACCATCTTTATCTATCAGGACCTAAACGGCAGTACCCTTGATTTGCTTTAGGGTAAGAACTGATTGAAAATCAGCATCTGGCAAAATATTTTACTTGCTTCTGGCTGTGAGTCTTACTTTGTATGTCTGATCCCTTAGTTGGTATCATGTGCATTTAGCCCTCCCTTTGATTAATCAAGTTTTTGCACTCCCATCATTCTTGTACTGAGCTCTCCATTCAAACAGGAATGTGTGTGCCTGGCTTCCACACAAGTAAAGACAGTGACACGGCTCTGGTTTCACTTACCCATGCCAGTCTGCACACGCCCTCATTCAGTGAATGAGCTTTGCATGGGTAATATGTGGATTTTAAATTCTAAGATAAATACTGAAAGATATCCCCATTAAAACAGATTTTGAACCCAAATAATTGCTAATTAAGCTTAAGTTAAACAGGTTGTCACTAAAAAATACTGTTCAGCAATGAAAAATGGAATTTAACCCAAGCCCAAAGATTCCCTACAGCATATTTGTTAAGAAACTAAGTAAGATTTACATAAAAATATAGAATACATAAAACCTTGTTATGTGTCCCTTGCAGGTAGCTGTGATAGGACCATAGTATGAGGGGTAAGAAATGAGGTCCAAGTTATTAGAAGGACCAGTATAGACCTTACAGCTTTTTCTTTGAATCCTACTTTTGTTCCGATATATCTAAAATCAGTCGTGCGTTTGTTTCTCTAATCTTATGTTCTTCTTAACACATTGATTTTTTAATGCTCTTCAAGATGCACCCTGCCATCTTTGCCTTGATGACCTACGCTGTCTGTTTGCAATAAGAAATTGCCAGTGGTTAACTAGCTTCTCTCAGAAATACAGTATCATTTCCAAACGGCTTGGTAAAGCAGCCACGCTCCCTCTTGCCAAGCCCACTCTACAGCAGCTCCTTCAGCATTTACTTTTCCATCCAAGTAATAAAACATAATTTTTTGTGAAAATTCCACACTTGGTGGTAATGTCGGAAAGAAATGTGGATTTGTGGTCTTTCTAAAGTTTGTTTTAGAATACACCCCTCATTGTGCTATCAGGCACCTGTAAAGTAACAAGTTTTGTATATATCATTATAGTGTAACTGCTAAAGTATTCTAAAGTGTGCGGTTCTTTGTTTGTCTGACTGTTTTTACTGTAGCATTAAATAAGCATTTTAATTCCTATTTTTGTAGCGTTTGGGAGGTTTGCTGGGTCACTTATGTAACAAAGTACTTTGATCTAATCTCTAGAATAGAGATTAGTCCTTTGTGCCAAGTCGGATTTTCATTGTATAATGTCCATTGCTGCCAATGAATTATGCTCAGCCTAGACGTCCAATACATTATAGAGCAGACATGTTTGCTTTTATTTGGTTATTAGTCTCTTTTGACAATTATTTTAAGGATAGAAGTTCTGTTGATCATGGCAAGGTAGTACATAGTTAAAGAAGATGACTAATAACAAAGAATTGGTTTGACTTTCTTTTACTTTTGGAGTAAACACGTTTGTATGGAAAAGTCACTGGCAAAGATGATTAAGAAAAATAAAGATAAGAGGAAAAATATCAGTTGGTTTGGATTTTTTCCCAGGTTATGCGTTCCTCCTGTTCCAAGAAGAGAGTTCTGTTCAGGCCCTGATTGATGCCTGCATTGAAGAAGATGGAAAGCTCTATCTATGTGTTTCCAGTCCTACTATCAAGGACAAGCCAGTAAGTAAACAGTAGATGGCCTGGAGGCTATAGCTGCCATCTGTCTAAAGCTGCATTTGAAATGATGACGATGAAAATAATCAAAAGCAAACTACTGTTGGCAGAGCTCAACATCTGGAACAGTTGGATGATTTTAAAATTGTAGTGTTTTGAATTAATAGGATTAAAACAGAGCACCTAGACATGCTAAGCTAATGGGGTTATGACTGTTTGACAATTTATATAGGCTGATGAACTTAAATCCACGATATAATGAAACTTAAAGTAGCATACTATTTTCTTTCCCAATTGAATAGGTTCAGATCCGTCCATGGAATCTAAGTGATAGTGACTTTGTGATGGATGGTTCCCAGCCGCTTGATCCTCGAAAAACAATTTTTGTTGGAGGAGTCCCTAGACCATTAAGAGCTGGTGAGTATAATCTGTGGCTATTTTTAAAAGTAGGAGATTAATGGAAATAATTTGAACCGTGCATACTTCTGTATAGTTATGTATGGATATAGATATATACATACAAAAATAGAAGACTGTCATGACAGTTATAAGCACAGTACAATATTCGTATATTCTTACATTTCGCTAGTAACTGTTTTCATCTGGGTTTGGCCATAAATCAATGTTCATCATTGAGATTTACTGGAAACTGTTACATGTCTAAAGCTGTAGGAAAGTTTTTGATCATATTAGCAAAACTGTAGTGTAAACTATGTCATAAAGAGGTTGTTTTTTTTTTTTAAATAATGCTATGAAAACTTCTCTGCCATGCTCCATGAATATGTGGAGCTCTGTTTATACTTGCTTGTCATTGTGCATTAGCTACTTTTCTACTACTATGAGGTTGCAGTTACTCTTGCTAATATGGACAAAGCAAAAATACAGGTGATGAAGGAGTAGGAATAGAGGAGAAGAGGAAGAAATTCAGACAGCTAGCACAGTCTGTATGGCACAACACTATATGAGATTGCAGGACTCTTTCTAGACTCTTGTCACCATATTTTATGGTGGCCTTCTAGTAAGTAGGTTGAAGTGAGTGTTGAAAGTAGAAGCATAGCATACAGTGGTTCAACTCCCATTTTCTTTTAGAATGACTCCTGGATTTCATTAGTCTTCCATAGTTTGTAATGAATTTTATTCTTACAGAAAGATGAGCTTTCAGATGGAAGATGTAGGAGAACCAAGAAGTGATAGTGCAAATTTGGGGTATAAAGAATCTTAAATTTTTCTATCTTGGACCTGCAATGCTCAAGCTTTTCTGTTATTTTACTTTTAAAACTGTACTTTTGACTGTAGTACAAGCTCTGTAAATGAGCATAAACACAGGATGTTCCAACTGCGGATTAATTTTTCTTTAAATTCAGTCCAAATACTCCAGATTATTGTGCTGAATGTCTGTGATAAATAAATTTAATGGATGCATTCTTATGCTTAGCTTTCAAATGCCCTGTATATGTGAAAATGAAATTTTTATGGCATTGTGAAATAAGAACCATGACTTCACAAAAGCAGTAAAACTTTAGGAGACTTTGCAAACAACTATTGAACATCAATGACTGCTGACACCTTTATATCCTAATACAGAGGACACTAATGCTGAAAAAATTAGTATTTTCCACCTAAATGAATTTCAAAACTGAATTCAGTATAAAGTATTACTAGAGGATTGCTAAAATACTTGATCTATAAAATGTGAGAATTTTGTTTCTGTGAACTTCAGTATCTATGGTAAATGTAGCACTGTAGAGGTAATCAAGCTCTTTGTGGCTGATGAAAAATGCTAACTACATCTTTAAAGTCAAGTAGGACATAGAGCATTAGGACAGTCAGAGAACATGTACCAAGGAATTTGTGGCATGTGGATCTATTTTATACAGCTTACATTCCATGCCTGCCCAAAAAGTCTTTTGCTGTAATCCCCTGAAGAAAACTGCCCTGGAATTTCAGTTCCAGGTTATCAAGGACTGCAAGGACTTAGAATTCCATTGTTCCTTGGATGTATGTATCCACAGTGTGAAAGATCTGTCTGCTGCATATTTCATAGCTTATTTAGTATGTTTTTATATTTCTTGTTATTACTGTTACATTGGCTGTTGCAAAATTAATTATTAAAATTAGCTTTTCCAGTATTTTTAATTACAAGCATGTTATTTAAAGTTCGTACTGTACGAACAGTTTAAATGAACGTTGTTTTGTTTCTTAATAGTGGAATTGGCTATGATCATGGACCGTCTCTATGGTGGAGTTTGTTACGCAGGAATTGATACTGACCCTGAGCTGAAATATCCAAAAGGTGCTGGACGTGTTGCTTTTTCCAATCAGCAGAGTTATATTGCTGCCATCAGTGCTCGGTTTGTTCAACTTCAGCATGGCGATATTGATAAACGAGTAAGTTATACAGAAATTAAAACATAAATAAATATGAGAATGATGATCTCCAAAGGAACATCCCAGGGTGTGGTAACATTGCATTTGATTGGCTTTCATGCCAGCTTCTACATTTCTTTTAGTATTCCTGTAACTCCACTAGTTCCAAGAGTTAAAGAGCGAATGGCCCCAAACGAGCAACATGCATTCCACAGAGCAGCAGTTTGTTCCTTGGACATATGTTAGACCATATGTTCTTTCCATTCTGGAGTTCCTGGTTTTGTTGTGTGTGAGCAAAGGGCTTGAAAATCTTTTTCTCTCCCTTGTTCTAATGCAACCAAATACTGTGGTAATTCCTCTGTCATTCATAGGAAACTCTACTATTCATTGGTTTCAGATTAGCTTTATATTTGCAGCTGCCCTTAATTTCAGCCATAATTGTCAGTGCTCAGTACCTCAGAAAATCAATCAAGCTCAACACCTAAAATACAAAACATCTCATCCGTTCTGTTTCAGAGAGTCTTCTTAGTATTTACCAATGTACATTTCTGGTTGCTACAGATGCTTATTGCTAGCTGAAGCAAAACTAACTTCTATTAAGAGGACTAGTCAAATTCATTACTCCTAATTAGAAGTATAAGAGTAGCAAAGAAAACTGGCATCTAAATTATGTCAGTTTTAAGTGTCACTAGTTTTGATGTCAAGAGCTGCAGAGGTAGTCACTGGTATTAATAGATGTTCTTTTACAAAAAAAAAAAAAAAAAAAAAGGTTTTAGGGAGAGAAGGGTT